TTGTTGTGTTCAACAGTTGTAACCTGTTGTCCCTAACCCTTCATTACCGGTAGAGGGGGGGTCAGCCTATTGAGGCAATGGTTTTGTAGTCTGCCCTGCCAATCCATCTTCTGCTGCCACCCCCTAATTAGCCTGCTGATCCATCAAGTGCCGCCACCCCCTAATTACTTGGCACCTGGGTGAGGCTTGCTGCGCCTGTGGTTGGCAGGACTTTCACATACTGCTGGGAACAACCTGCCTTTTCCTGCTGCTATTTCTATCAGCTTCAAACCACTTGTTGGGATGGGTTTGGGGAGGGGGGTTTGCATTGAACATGTCTTAAGTATTTGTATTTATTGGCAATGACATATCATCACTAATCTACATGTATGCCATCTCCAAATTTTGTTTGAACATGTGTTCTTTATTAGCTTATAAGATAGGATATGAATCTTCATTTGTATAAGTTTAGTGGAGTGGTACAGGCATGGAAAGATTCAAATCCTACAAAGATGGAGTGAGTGAATGTGAGTTAGTGCCTATTGAAAAGCCCATCTGATCACACAACAGTGATGCTTGTGTAGGTGAATGAATGAATGAATGAATGAATAAATGAATAAATGAGTGAATGTGAGAGTGAGTGAGTGTGAGTGAATGTGTGTGGGTGAGTGTGAGTGAATGTGTGTGGGTGAGTGAGCGAGTGAGTGAGCGAGTGAGTGAGAGTGAGTGAATGTGTGTGGGTGAGTGAGTGAGTGAGTGTGAGTGAATGTGTGTGAGTGAGTGAGCGAGTGAGTGAGCGAGTGAGTGAGAGTGAGTGAATGTGTGTGGGTGAGTGAGTGAGTGAGTGTGAGTGAATGTGTGTGGGTGAGTGAGTGTGTGAGTGTGAGTGAATGTGTGTGAGTGAGTGTGAGTGAATGTGAGTGAGTGAGCGAGCGAGTGAGTGTGAGTGATACCCATTGAGAGTCCCATCTAAGCAGACATCAATAGTGACACTTGTGTGTGAGGGAATGAATGAATATGAGAGCGGACAGACAATAGTGACACGTGTGTGTGAGGGAATGAATATGAGAGTGAGCAGGCATGATGCCCATTGAGAAGATCAGACAATAGTGACACTTGTGAGTGAGTGAATGAATGAGTGAATGAATGAATATGAGAGTGGACAGACAATAGTGACACTTCTGTGAATGAGTGAGGGAATGAATATGAGAGTGGACAGACAATAGTGACACTTGCCCCCTTGTCTGTGAGTGGCTCAGCAAACATGTGGCCATTAATACCCACTTGTTGCTGTTTGGGTCCGGGGCGGATCTGTTACAGTTTGGCTACATCAGATCTGTTACAGTTTGGATACATGGTGGCTGACATGTGGCGGTTTGGGTGTCATTCTGACACTTCTGACCAGTCACAGGAAAACTGGTACTCAGGCAACTGGATAGGTTTGGGAAACTGTCAGACCTTTCATGTAACATCCATTATTTTTTGTCAGTGACTGATGGAATATGTTAAATTACCAGAACATGTATCCCCAAACTATGAACTGATATGTGAACAGTGATGCATACCGGTTCACTGGACTTGGATCCGGACTTGTAAGAATGTTTAGGTTCAAGTCCAAAAAAACCTAAAAGTCAAGAATCGAGTCCGGACTTATTACCATAAAACACAATTTCACATACCCCTTTTCCTTCCAAACCACCTAAAACCTTCAGTACATTGCAAAATCTTTGCTGCAAAATGAAGAAAACATTGCCATCGGGCATCGTCAAGAACCGTCCTCCATGGTGGCCAAAGTTTATGTGGCCAAAGTTTCACCCAGACAACATTGCAAGGTTGCTAACATGCAGTTTTGTTTATGTCATGGGTTTAGGTCCGGACTTACAAGTCCGGACCTGAACCTAAACCTCTGGACTTGAATCCGGACCTGAACCTAAAACTGAGTTTAGGTATGCACCACTATATGTGAACGACCAGTCTTGTAAACCATTGGGAGTTTCGGTTGTTCCTTTCTTTATTATAAAGTTTAGGTTGAGTTTTATTTGTTTTTTATTTCATTTATTGGTTTGGCTGTCAACCCCCAACAGCAACATGTACAAAGTGGCTTAACAATCTTCAGAACTATATGTTGAGTTTGGGAAGTTCTTTGTCTAAAACCTGTGGTTCCCTTTGTTGAACCCATGGTTTGAGTTTGTGTAGTTCCTGTGTTTTTAGTTTGTTTTCTGGTGTTGCCCAGAGGCCCAGTTCTAGGTCAGTCCAGAGCCAGGGTCAGGGGAAGTGTGGTTTGAATTTGGCTGCTCTGGAAGGCAGTGGAGCGGCACGTTTAGCGTTCCACGTTCTGCCGGAGAATCTTCCCAGAATTCTTCGCCCTCACGTCCTGCGGACTCGCAGCTAAACTCGGCTGCTGTAAAACCTGAGACTAAAACAACTCGCGGGCGTCACAGATACAAACATATCAGAGCTATAAACCTCGTATAGAACCGACATATACGATTTTATCAAAGAACCCACATATTATAGAAGAAGTGGGTAAATTCGTCTTCCATTGCCTAAAAAGAAGAAGTCAAACCCAGTAAAACTAGTACTATGCATGTTGTAGAATATAGTAGAATGCTAGAAGTAGATATCGTCTCATATACCACTGTATTTTCTTTCTATGTTGTTAGTAACTCCAATTAGCCATCGGGCATGTATTTGCAATAAACGCTTTATCATACACTCGAAACCAGATAATTATGGCTGCAACACAGAATATAATAGACTGGAACTCAGTTATCATAGACTGGAATAGAATGCTGTTTATCTTTCTGCATGTTTCAGAATGGAAAGAAGTGAGGCTATATTTTAGGGTCTGTTTAAAGATGGCTGGGTCTGAAGCTATGTTTTTGACCTTAGAACATAGTACGTGCTTCAACTTGTCTGAGGCTATGTTTTAGTATCTGACCTGTTTTCAGATGGCTGGGTGTGAGGCTAACATTGGACCAGTTGTAAGATGTCTGGGTTTGAGGCTATGGCAGTATTGGGTTCAGCTGTTGTTGTGTTTGTCCTGTCAGTCATTATTCTCTCATTACTGGGGATTGGATAGAGTCTGGGCGGACAGTATGGAACTCACTTGCTGTACAACCTCCCGGGCCGCAGTCAGACGCTCTAACCTCTCCGCTAAAAAGGTCTAGACCCGTTTGCCGGATCAGTTGGTAGCGCCTATAAAGCCCCACTGTTACAAAAGCTTGGCCAGAAGCTGGCATGAACCATGGAAGTGATGAGAAACAGGCAGTGATTTGGGCCCGCCCAAAGCTCCGCCCACCACTCCAGTGGGTTGCCCTATTGCAACAGGCAGAGGGGAAAAGTAAACAATCAAAAACTGCTTAATAACAGTAAACTCTGCCTGTTGTGTTGAAGTGTGGAGGCCAGTCCTGGTAGTGTTAGAGGACGGGGCTGCTGGATTGCAGTAGGATGAGTGTGAAAAGTGTAGTTTTGCTGTGGGTTGAACTGCTGGTGTGACAGGCGGGGTGAGTGATGGATGTTGGCTGGTAATTTATGGGGCTGAGAGTTGCCTCCAGGCTGTGACTGGCTGGGATTACGGAGGAGAGTTTCCCTCCTCTCACAACAACAACCCACAACAACATGGTCCCGCAGCCGACATTTAGGACTTTTCTACCCAGCTTCTTCTCTTATCTTCACCCAGGACAAGTTTTACTGTTCCTCACGCTGCTTTCACTCGGTGAGTTTCTGTTTTTTGGGGCGAGTTTTTGGGTTTAGTTTGGCAGAGCCGTGAGCCGTGATCAGTCACGGTTGGCTCCCAAACGCTGGTCCCACCAGGCCGAAAACTTCCACTGTTTATTTAAAGTTTTGCAGGCTGGGCTCAGTGTGTAAAGGCGCAGGTTTGGAGTCCTTTTGTGGCGGGACTTAGCGGGACTTTTCCGCGCTGAAGGTTTGGAGGGAACTGGGAGGAAGTTTGGGTGTACGTGACAGTCAAGCAGGCGTCTAACTCTAGTCTGACCCTGGCTGGGGCTGTGCGCTTGGAGTCTGGCCTGGGTACAGGCAAACTTGTCATAATAGTGGGACTGGGTGCAGGGCTCTCCCCAAGTAATGAAGCAAGGGTGCTCCCCCTCTCCCCAAAATCCTAGCACCCCTCCCAAACTGTTCAAATTTAGGGTTTTCTCTTAGTATTTTCATGAAAATTGGCTGATGTTTCATCAACTGATTAGGGAGCACCTCTCAGAATTTCTTGGGAGACTACTGGGGTGGGTTAGTTAGACTGGGTGGGTTGGACTAGCGTGGGTTATACTGGTACTAGCTGGTGATAACTTTTGGTCCATTCTTCTGGTTGTTGTAACACAGTGTCAGAAGCTAAAGTGGGCATGCCACTAGCAGGAATGGTTCACCTCCCCTCAGTGATCCCTCTCCTTCATTTCTGTCAAAATGTCGGGGTGTTTACGTTTCCCCAACCACCAACCCTGTCCGCCCAAGTGTCACAAAGCGGGTCTTTGTGGAACCCACCCGACTTTTCAGGCCGGGTGACCCTGAAGAATGCTGCACATGTAGAGGGGAGTCCTGTAACACCCGCCATGATAGCCTTTCAGGGGCAGGACGGCTGAATGGACCCACTGCTGGGGGTAACATGATAGCCCCAACTGTTGGCTGGGCTGGCAGGCTGGCACCAAACAGGCACTGATACAAACTAGATACAAACAAGCTTCAAACTTACCAGAAAACTACCGGTAGTCTAAGTTCTCACTATAGGTAACTACTACTCCAAACAACTGCAAACTCACTAGAAAACTCTAGCCAAGTAATAACCTGACATAAATACTTCAAACAAATTTAAGAGCAGTGTAAACCGTCACCTCAGTGGTATCGGACAGCGCCCTTGTGACAGCTGCTAAGCTGAGACTGACATTGCATAGATTAAAAAAAAAGAAACCTACAAACAGGCTGACAGAAAACTCTCACTATAGATAAACACTGCTACAAACAAGATATAAACTCCCCAGAAAATGCTGTCTGTTGTATAGTTCAGTAGGGATAACACTGCTCCAAAAAACTTCAAACAGGAACAAACTCACTTGAAAAGTTACAGACTTACAACAAGTCACAAACTTACTATAAAAATTAACCACTGCTCTAATCAAATCAGAATCCCTCAGCAGTAGACACTACAGGAATCTCACAGTATCATTCTTCCATGTTACCGATATAATTCTGTATGGATAATGTTTTATGTAAGTGTGACTAGAAACGCACACCGAAGGCATAATATATCCCCATGGGCCGCAAACAGGCATAGACTTTTGCACGTGTGACTAAAATACACCCTAGTGACTGCATAGTTCTGGGTAGTGTGACGAACATGTATGATTTTCTCTGATGTCCCTGTATCAGTATACATAGTAGGTGGTATAACCGCACTTCAGCGTAACACACCAGCTTCTGTATCTGTATAGCCGGTTTAACCGCACTTCAGCGTAACACACCAGCTTCTGTATCTGTATAGCCGGTATAACCGCCCTTCGGCGTAACACACCAGCTTTGCAGGCACGCGGCACAGCGGCAGCTAGCTATATCACACCGAACGACTTGTTACACTCAATCTTTGCACATTTAATTGCAGTTGTTGTTTAAAGCTTTCTTGTGAGATGCCCCAACTGTGCTTGGTGGCAACGAGTTCCAGTCTACGATAGTTCTGGGGAAATACAAGTTTTTGAACACCTCTATTCTTGGTTGATAACTCAGATATTTGAAGGCATGACTGTTTCTTGTTCTTTTCTTCCCTTGTGGAGCCAACAGCAGATTAGCTGGATTCCTGGTCAGATTTCCCCTGTTCCCTGCTGCCCAAAGTTGTCCCAGAGAGATATTTAGCTTCTCCCAAAGTGAGGTTTAATTGTGTCAAGCTGTTTTTCATCAATGTGAACAGAATTGTAGTATGATACCATCTCCTGGCATGTTGGTCAGGCGATTCCTGCTTCTGTATGTGATTAGGAAAGCCAAGGTCAATCAATGTCACATGGGGAGGGGGGCGGGTGTGTGATGAAAATCTGTCAACAAAATTTACTACCAGAAGATTTTTGATTACATATTTAAGCTATTAGTGACAATTCAGACTCATAATTATACCATTGTTATAACTTATTAGCTAAGGGGCTAACATTACAGGGGAATAATATCAAGACTAGTCACATGAAAACTTTTTCCTTAGGAAAAAGTTTTCATGTGACAATCGCTCAGAATACAGTCATACACATAGTCATGGTTCCTACCAATTGCTGATTTAGAAAGAATACTTCACCAGAAGTCTGTTGTTACACATGATAAAGAGATGATGATACAAGTGTTCACTGGAGGTACAGCAGTGAAATCCTCAGCAGTTCTCCAGTTTCCGTTTCTGCACCTGGGCTAGCCGGGGTCAGCAGTGGTCATCATGGAGGCACGACCTGCAATATTGCCTCCGACCCCTGACCTCGGGAAGGGCCTCCCGCTGTTGCATGCTGGGGGGTCGCTGCTGAGAGGGGAGCAGGGCATTGTGGGATGGGCGGAGTGTTCGGGGGTGTTGGATGGCGGCACAGCGTTGGGTTGGCAGGTTTCGGTTTGACAAACAACCCAGGAGCCCAGAAGGAACGTAGGGGCCCCGCGGACTAGACAAGCCACTAAGTACCTGATACCAGCCCAGAAAAGAACAAGAAATAGTCATGCCTTCAATTTCAAATATCAGAGTTATCAACCAAGAATTGAGGTGTTCAAAATCTTGTATTTCCCAAGAACTATCGTAGACTGGAACTCGTTGCCACCAAGCACAGTTGGGGCATCATCACTAGAAAGCTTTAAACAACAGTACTCCTGCAATTAAATGGGCAAAGATCGAGTGTAACAAGTCGTTCGGTGTGATATAGCTAGCTGCCGCCGTGCCGTGTTCCTGCGAAGCTGGTGAGTTACACCGAAGGGCGGTTATACCGGCTATACTGCTGATACAGATACAGAACCTGGCGCAGCATCAGGGTGGATATTACAATTTATACCCACAGGCAGGCTGGTACAGGCACCATGTCGTAGTGATTAGCCAGGCTGACATGGGATCAAAGGGTCAGGGGTTTGATTCCTGGCAGAGCCGGGCCAGACGTGGTGTCCTTGGGAAACACTTCCCTTCTCTCAGGTGTACAGGGGCCTGGGTTTGGTTTGGGAGGGGAAAGGGGGAACGAGAGGGATGGGCTCCACCCTCCAACACAAGACAGTGGATAACAGCCCAGTGTCCTTAGTGCCTGAACTTGCTGAAGGCTAGAGTACCCTTACCTTTACCTATGTATAGTAAGTCATGTATAATAAATAGGGACTACCCTTACCTTTACCTATTATATGTATAGTACATGTAAGTCATGTATAAGAGGGACTACATGTACCCTTACCTTTACTTATATGTATAGTAAGTCATATATAATAGGGACTACCCTTACCTTTACCTATTATATGTATAGTAAGTCATGTACATGTATAGTAGGGACTACCCTTACCTTTACCTATATGTAAAGTAAGTCATGTAGAGTATAGTACTAGGGGTTACCCTTACCGTTACCTACATATGTATAATAGGGACTACCCTTGCCTTTACATTTTGTACCTATATGTATAATACTAGGGAATACCTAAACCTTTACCTATATATATGATATAGACCACCCTTATCTTTACCTACTTGCATAAGGGAAGTACCTTGCCTTTACCTATAGATCTGTTAGGTTTATTCGACATTAGGTCTTGTTCAACACATTTTATTGTTTGCTACTCTCTTTATGTAGTTTGCCAACATTGTACCATGTGCAATTGCCGTGCAGTAAAGTTCTTATATGACCCCAACCCTGCCCAACACCCTCCAACTGTCCAAGTAAGACTGGACAGAAATCCTCCTAAGCATGAGGAAAGACTTTTCTATGGCAGCGCCTTGCCGGAGGTAAACAGGTCACAGGGAAAACCTAATATGTGGGGCAGCTGCTGGCTACTGGTATGGGGGGGGGGGGTGTTATGATGGTATGAGGGGTGATATACTGGTATGGGGGGGAAGGGGGGTATGCTGGTATTGGGGGGGTATACTGCGGGTGGGGGGGGTTATACATGTATGTTTTGGCACAGATCTAGAAATGCCTCGTGTCTCCGTGTTGTTTACGTTTAGCCCAGCTGTTGGGGTGCCAAACGGAAACACACTACAATAGTTCAGATACACACCCTAACGCTAAACAGTTCAGCAAACTTCTGTATCAAATATTCAAGGGTGGTTTTCAGACTGTTGGGGTAGATAGAAAAATTAATTAAGAAGACAAAGCCTGAATACATTGAAAGGTTGTTTCAGTGTTGGTTAGAATAAAGATTATATCATTATTAATCATGGTCAACAATTGTAACTGATATAATGTAATTTTAATGATTGTATGTACAAGTATTTTCGAGGTAAACTTTGTCTATGATGTTGTTTATTTCTGTTACCATCAATCCATCATTAGCAGGCATAATACATGTATGTTGCTATGAAGACTGGATGTTTGTTCTGACATTTGTTTGTTTGTTTGTTTACAGGTTCTCAGGGTTTGGCGTCGTCCCCGGCAACGCCAACGGATTTACTGGCGGATCCGACTGGGTAAGAAATCTGTCATATTTTTATCAACATAGGAAATCTTAATATTCTTATTAAGGCCACACCAATCTAATTTCTTGGCAGCCAGCCATATGCATTGTTGGCTGAATTGCACAAGTGATTACATATTTAAAAAACTTGAAAAAGATACAACATTGAGGATTAAAAGGATTAGATTTAAAATTTTTTAGGTCGGTCCATTAAAACAGAGGCGGACTACTATTTACAAGTCTTGGTTACTGAGGCTTATTGCCTGAAACAGAAAAGATTTTCTCAGTCTTTCAGTTCTGAACTTCGGTATGGAGATGTGGTTTGTCAACACCAACTGTGCTTCGTCAGACTGAAGCTGTCACATGTAAGACTAACAAATAAACATTTGAACATAAACAGACAGACAGGACTGGCTCCTGGTGCAGACAACAGACTTGCACACAAGAAAACTGTTACTCATGCAGCTGGATAAGTTTTAAAAAATGTCAAAAATGTATTTCAAGTATTACCAACAGTTTTTGTCAGTGGGTAGACTTACGTCGATGAAGGTTAGACATCCAGGTAATACGATATGCCAAAAACAGTTACTCAAGCAACTGGATATGATTTTGAAAATGTCAGACGTTTCAGCTAGTATCCACTAGGGGGTGCCCTAATTCCGTAGTACTGTAGTAGTTTGAAAAATGCTTGTTGCGATCTGATGGAAACAGACAATTTGTAGAGAAAACTTGAGAAAGGTCAAATTCCATTTAGGACTCTGCAACAGATACCCCGGGAAGGAGAGTAGGGAAGGAGCGTATGAACCCGGGAAGGAGAGCAGGTTGCCCTGCGCAGAATGCGGTGGTGTATCGTGGGTAATACCAGGCAGGCCGGCCCTAATGAGTTGTCCTTGGTTTTCACTCAAAGTTGGATAAACAAGGCGGGAAGTGAACTTGGAGCTGGGAGAAGGTCACGGCAAGGTCACGCCCTTGGGGAGGGGGGAGGGGAAATGTGGACCCAGCTGGGAAGGGACGGGGTTAAGTACGGGGCCGTGGAAAATTGGCAGGGCCAGGGATTGAACTCCTGACCTGGGGGTTATCCCCAGTAATGGCTAGCTATGCTGCCTGCAGAGTGCCCTACATGGATGTGTGTTACCCACACAGATAGGCAGAGTGCCCTACATGGATGTGTGCTACCCACACAGATAGGCAGAGTGCCCTACATGGATGTGTGTTACCCACACAGATAGGCAGAGTGCCCTACATGGATGTGTGTTACCCACACAGACAGGCAGAGTGCCCTACATGGATGTGTGCTACCCATACAGACAGGCAGAGTGCCCTACATGGATGTGTGCTACCCACACAGATAGATGCTGCATGCCGAGTGCCCTACATGGATGTGTGCTACCCACACAGATAGGGAGAATTCGGCACAGCGGTAGCCTGGGTTCCAAACCCAATCACACTGGACACAAAGGAGGGCCTGCAAGGGGGGGTCCCGACAACACACTACGCTGAATTCGGAAACCTCTCGATTACGCTTTACGATAAATTCCAAGTGGCTACAACGCATTACGTAGAATTAAAACGCCGAATACGCTCTACGCAAAAATATTAGAGCGATCCGTCTACGCTCTATGTAGAATTAAAACGGCCGATTACGCTCTACGGAAAAGGGCTTGCGGGCCCGCTTATACTGGCTGTACAGATACAGATGGCAAACCAGAAACACCTGGCTAAGACTAGCACTTGGTACATGACTGTCCAGAATCTTGCTGTATCCAGAGCCAAGCTGAGGCAGGGTTCTGGATAGTCCACACTTTTTATCCAGAATTGTGCTTGTGGCAAATCTACATTCTCGGATATGCTGAGACAATCCAGAACCATGCCTGACCCTAACCCTAACCTATTCAGGCATAGAACTAAATTGTTAGATAGGCACGGTTCTGGATACAAGAGTAAGTGATATTGGCTGCCCATAGTCCACCCCTTGACACCACATGTGCATGCATATCTGTAACTTGTAAGTGGAAATCCATGTTGTGTCTCACAGTTGCTTCTGTCTGTTTCAGGCTCCCCAGAGCTGCCACAGACACGCCCACCTCCAGGATAGGCGGACAGTGTAAGTTGATATCCCAGCTTCCTCTTGTTGTGAAGGTCATAGTGGGGGAGGGGGGCAATCATTATGCAACTTGAGGGGAGTTCTGTTGGTTTTATTTTTGTTTTGAACTATTTTTGTTTGTTTGTTTGCTAGGCAGCTAATGTAAGTTGATATCCCTGCAGTTTCCTCTTGTTGGGAAGGTCATTATGGGGGAGGGGGGCAATCTATTAACTTGAGGGTGCTGTTGGTTTGAACTTTTTGTTTGTTTGTTTGTTTGTTTGGAGACCTAAATGTTTTTTTATAAAGATATGCCCACATGTAAGTTGGAATCCCTTGGAGTCTAAGCCCTGGCACAATCAATGTGTGAATGACAGTTGGGTTAGATAAACAGTCCCTGGATGATAATGATTTCCGTTTAGAAACAAATGTCTGAGAACTTATGGCTGATGACGACTGTGATACAGTAAGTCTGCTTGTGTGGTACACGTAAATCCCCAGCCAGCAGTCAGGGACATTTCACAGCCAAACAAAGCTGTAAAAGTTGGGAGACTTCACAGAGTACCTCATGACCTCAATTACATTTGCTGACCCCTGAAGGTCGACCTAAAGGAACCCAAAGCTCTTCTGGTGCTGTTCTACTGTAGTAGGAGACCTTCTGGTGTAGAATTACAGTTTCTAAAATGATTGACTTCGCAGTAGTACATTGCCCCCTCCCCTTTGTTTTTGCCCCCCTCCCCCTACATACTG